AAAAAAAAAAAAAAAATGAAGGAAAACTTCTGCATTTCATTTTCTAATGCCTGAAAGGCCTGTGGAGAACAAGCTTAATGTTCTTTCTTCTCTAGTAGCCTCTTCGAAAACATCTTAGAGGAAAAGCTCTCCCTCGGGTTTGGGTTGGTTTATGTGATCGTGGTTACATCAGAGGATTTATTCTCCACCCCCAGCCTCTCCAAATCACTGTTAATTCTTAAAAAAAGAGCCATGGGATTTTAATTTTGCCTGATAGGCCACTCTGTCGCCAAACTTAACGTCAGCACATTTTATTAGTGGGAAACTGAATTTACACCCTGAATTTTCATTATGAGTCCCCATGTCGAGGCTGTGTTTGGAAAGATTCTTCTATGTTCTTTGACATTGGCCTGCTTGCATTATTAATTTAAATGTTTCAGGAATATCATCTGCTTCTACTAAAATAAATGACGAACAAGTTCTGGAAAGTGGCTTTGAGAGCTGCCCTAGTAGGAACAGTCAGGGGAAAGCTCAGTGTCTGAGGCGCTAATTTAGGTGTGAGTTTTAATAATGTGTGTTTAGTTATGACCCTAAAGTCTGCTCGCCCTACAGCTCTCCCCATCTGGTGCAATTTGCTTTCTCCACTCATAAAAACACAACCACAGCATGTGTTCTGTGCCGTGTTGTTACAATGAGGCCTCGTCCATCACAAGCTGCATTGAGAGAAACTCATTTCTCAGCCTGTCTTTGCCAAGCTCCCAACCTTTCCCTGCATTTTGCAGTGGAGTTCTGCCCAAGCACCCACACCCCAGCCCTATACCCCTTTGGAGAAAGGAGACGATGGAACCGTACCTTGTGCCTGGGTTTCCGCCCTCTTTTCTTTGGGATCTTCACTGCTGGTAAAGAGCCAGCTGAAGCAGCATAAAGGCTATGAGCTGGCATCTTCGTGGGCGTGGAGTGAAGTGGGGGCCGGCCTCGCTTTCGCCCTGGGGTCCTCTGAGATTGCATCTCTGCTGGTGCCAGTCTTACGGAATGAAGTGACAAATTGCCCACAGGCAGAAGAGGTGCTAAGAATGTGTCCAGACACAAAGCAAAACAAAAACAGAAGTGTTCAGTTTGCAAGGCAAACATGGATCTGGTTTGGTGATGCTGGTGTAATCTACCACTTATTAGAGGTGAAGACCAAATGCAAGAGAGCCAAGCACCACTAGAAGCATTTACAGTGATGTGGGGCCCTGGGCACTTCACTGGTCCTCTGGTGTGATTTCAAAGATAGTGAATTTCCACAGGCTATAGTGAAGCAGGGAAGATACTGGTTAGGTGGAGAATACAATAGATTCCCAGCTCCAAACACCAAACACATCTGATAACGTCACCAGCAAAAAGATGGTTTTGTCTGTCTCAGTTTCCTCAGTTAAATAACTTTGAACTGCTATAATAATAGAAGGACTCAAATAAAGAAAATGAATTTTTTTAAATTTCTGCTTATGCCCTAATGTAAGACTTGAATAAATAAAAAGATTATTCTATCATTGGACAGAAGGATATTTTTAAAATATAATTTTCATCTAAATTATTCTACAAAGTAAATGCGATCACATTAAAAATCCAAACTGACTTTAGGAAAAGAAGGACAAAACAAAGGCCAATGGGGGAGATTTAGTCATTAAATGCATTAGTCATTAAAATGCATTAAAAAAACTACAACAATGGCAGCATCATGGTAAATGAGCAGCAATCAAATCAATGGAAAAGTTAGTCTGGAAACTAAACATATATTAAATTTTCATTTTTAAAAACTTTAAGAACAATTTATATCAATAGAGGAAAGCTCAATAAATGATTTGTGGACAACTGGCACTTAGAAATAAATAAAATTTTAGCTGTATTTCAGCAAAAAAATTCTAGAAATACCCGACTTAAAAATAAAAAATAAAAAGATGGGGATGGGCTTTCTAAGTATGAAAGAAAACACAGGAAGCAGAACTAGAAAGATTTATAGACACGACTACATAAAACCCAAATGCTTTTGTATAGCAAAAGTAAAATCATGAATAAGGTAGAAAATAAATGACAAATTAAGGAAGCTATTCATTACATATGGGACCAACAAAAGGTTAATACAAAGAACATCTTCAAATTATTAAAATAAAAATGAACTCTCTAATAGAAAGATGGACAAAGGACACAGGCAATTCAAGAAAAGAAAGAGAGAGAGAGGGAAGGAGGAAGGAAGAGAGGAAAGGAAAGAAAGAGAAAAAGAGAGGAAGGAAGAGAGAGAGAAAGGAAGGAAGGAAGGAAGGAAAGAGAATAAATGATCAGTTATCATAAGAAGAGATTCTAAACTTTACTGGCAACTCCCCCCAAAATTAAATTGAGGTATTATTTGTCACTTATCAGACTGATAAATGTGAAAAGCCCTGATGATACTCCATGCTGGTGAGGGGTGGGGGATGGGCACTCCCATTTATTGTTGGCAGGGGTACAAACTGGCTGACCTTTCTGGAGGACAATTTGAAAATCACTTAAAAATTTTATGCATGCACACTTCTTAATCCAGCTACATCATTTCTAAGGATTTATCATAAAAAAAATAATCTGAGAAGAGCATAAAGATATATGGCCAAGATATTCTTTGCAGCATTATTTATAATAGTGAAATGTTTAAAGCAAACAAAATGTACCTCAAAACAGCCTTAGTTTAGTAGTATATTATTTCACATTCATAAAATGGAATACTTCATGATTTTAAGTATGAGTGTATGTACATACACACATACACTCCTCTATGAAGATAGCAAAATAGAATATATAGTATGATTCTCTACATATATTTTTTCATAAATAGATATAGACAAATCTGCATGTGTTTAGGTATAGAGAGAGGCCTGGGAAAGATGATCATCTGTTGATGGCGGTTGTCTCTGGGCAGAAGGATGTCGAAAGATGGTTTTTCTCTCTTCTTTCTGTGATTTTGCATTGTTTGAATTTTTTTAAATCAGGGGTAGGACAATAGTATAAAGAGAAAAACAATGAGTGAATGATTTTTGTTCTCTGGAAGTTTCTACTGGAAATGTTTCCTCCTTTAAATGGCCTTTTGTTTTCTTGTTTTCTAGTGGTTTTTGTTCTTGAGCCACAAGAACTCCACTGGACACTACTTTAACATCGCAAACAAAAATGGCAAAATGGGCTTTATCCCCAAAATCATCAAAAAAGTTTGTTTCTTAGCTAAGAAAAACATCCATAAACAGATGGTGAACAGGGGTGCTTCACAGGACCCTTGAGAGAACCAGCTTGCCACTGTCACCCTCCTGGGCACCTCCTCCCTCTAGGTCCTTCCACTGAGGGACCAGGTGGTAGCTGGGTGACTGCTCTTTGGCCAAAGATTTCCCCCATCTCCAAAGACCTCCACAGACCTCAGATGCAGTCCATAGACATACTCTCCATAGATACATAATGTGACATAACCAAATACGTAAATCGCTTAAGAACTCTCAAAATCCTGGAAGCGTATGTGACACCTCTGGATTTCTCTACTTTCAATTGTGAACTTCAGTGAATACAGACACCTCAGTTCAGGTCAGATTTGGAAGCCATCTCGGAGCAAAGAGTTTTAGAAAACATTAAAAGACTCTGTCCCTAGAACAGCCTAATCATCAAGTCCCTAAATATTGAAGTCATAACCTTTAAGCTGTTGTCAAATCCTGGCGTGGCATATTAAATCAAGTGATTTGCTGCCAGCTCCCTAAATCTCTTTCCTCTTATCAAAACAAAGCTTGGCTAGAAATATTACCACTGAAACCAAGAGAAACTAAAGTCTGTTCTATGAATTTGGGGATGACATTTTACCTGTTAGCCTTGCAGATCTAATACACATAAACTAAGGTCCTGGTAATGGTGCCTCATCAAAACAAAGATCAAGAAATGACCAAGCCCAAAGCCAACACCGATCCAATAAGGTGATCGTGTCATCCAGGAGTTATCCTGAGGTGTTTATTTATGTATCCACTCACTCATCCACTCATTCATTTACTAATTCATCGAACAAATATCTGCTGAATATACAGTGTCG